GGCCAACCAATGCCTTGCGTTTTCGCACTAGGTTCAATTTAGTTTAACGTATTTTAGTATCAGTAATTTTTTTTTTAGCATAAAACCAGGACTGGTGTTATTGATATTAAATAATGTCAATAACAGTATAGGTAATTTAATTCTAACAATTTTCCTAGTATAAGAACTTGAACCAATGACGAAATATTCAGTTTATTAGATTCTAAGTCCGCTGAAAATGACTACGATCGTTCTAAATTCAGCGATGTACAAGCCCCCCACATTTCACATAATATCTTCAGAAGAATCGATGGATTTAACTAAAGCTTTGTGATGGACACAAGGCTGCTGAAAGCACCCTTCCACTCGTTTTGGCAACGGTTACTTAAAGCAAATCAATGCAGGATTCTTTTCACCTTTTCAATAAAACATTGAGGAACACATAATTATAAAACGGTTCAAACTATCTCTAAAACCTCAGTAACGAATTACCACCATTATAGGATGAAATTTCACCACTCAATAAAAGTAGAATGAGTATTAACGATAACGCCGAAAAATTGTAAAGCCATGTACAGATATTCTAACAACACCGCGAACCGAACCGCAGCGCGCGCATTTTGACGAACAACATTGCAACGAGCATCACCACAAATCGAACGGCGTCGTGCAACCACATCGCGCAACAAAATGACGCTCCAATTTTGATGTTTGTCGTTCAGTAAAAGACGAATGCTAACTGAAATGGATATAGCAGTAGCAGCAGCTGCCTATATTTATGTGCATTCTGGAATAACCAAGATGGCTTGAAGGATGTCCCTTGCCCTTCTGTGACTACAGTAACTTGTGCTACCATTCCCCGTTCTCAATTAGTTCTGTTTGGTTGACCAAATAATAGTATCAGGAATTCGGTTCGTTGGCCCTTGGCTGAAAAACGAGATCCTGGTTAGGATCGTCTATGAAGCCCCGCAAGCGAAGATATGTCGGCCTTGGGGGTCAGGGTGACAACCAGGTGCTCACCGAGGGAGAGTGCTTCAACTAGATGCCCGTTCACTCCATTACGCCTAGTTTATACAGACTCAAACCGCGAATTGCCAATAAAACAAACCATACTCCTAGTGGTCATTTTAGTGACGTGACAAGTGCCAGCTTTCTTATTTCAATTACCTTGCAATTTGTAAAATGTTAATTCTAGGCGGGAATCTTAAAAATATTTTAATAGGGAATACTGACATCCACTATGACTCTTAAAATTGTTTCAGAACTATAATGTATTTACACCCAAGATAGAATGGATGCATGATTGCCAAAAGCAAGGACGGCGTACAGGGCCGCATTCAGGGCTACCTCCGAATCATGGACTACCACCAACGTATTGTAAAACAAAGATGACAGTATTTAACAGAAACAGAAACTTAACAAATTACTCAAATACACTTAGCAACAACAACAGCAACAACCAAGCAAGGTGAATACGAAAACACGAGCACGCAGTGATACACGCGACGGTCGGCGGCCTGAATGCAACTCTGCCTGCCCTGCCCCTGCCCCGCGCATTATTCCGCCAGGCGACCGCTTGAAATTTATTGGCGAATTGACTAATAAGAGGCGTTGTCCCTACCTGTTACCGAGAGATCACGCGCTAACTGTTATTATTTAAATCTCATCTTGAATTTGGATTCAGTTTAGAGTTATTGGGTGATTATTGGTGTATTGGTGTTGAGTTCATTTCCGTTCACGGTTGACCAAATTTCTAACCTAAAAGTATTGGAATAAAATAAACCTTTATCTTGTTCAAAAGTGTACCAAGGCTGATTTAATTCTATTAATCTAATTGATTAAAAAAGTTGCTATTGTTTTTGTACGTCTTCGTGTTTTGCAACTCGTTTTGGGTAAATGTCAGTCTTTTTGGTTTAAATATATATAATATATAATGCATTTCATCTGCGAAAACTACTACTACTAATTCCCAAAAAAAATAGTCTTGGCTGTGCCATGATTGTGAGCATCCTGTAACAGTGACAGACACTAACTTTATTAACTCCCTAATCTCTTGCGATTTTTGCCTGCACAAAATTGTCAAAAGTTAATAACAATACCCACGGAAGTGACAGAACGAGCAAATTAATGTTCCTGAAAGTATTGCGAAATTAGCGTCTACATGAAACGCGTAAATTTTCAGCAATCCAATTCGCGCCTATATGAACTAGGCTTTACGCGGAAACCATGAAGTTTGATTCCACCAATCAGGGTCGAGCTATCCGCTGGCGATAGAGAATATAAAATTTCATAGTCCAGTCGAACTAGAAAATTTGGATAAAATATTGCCGTTGCAGGTACAAAGAACAAATGAATGTGTTCCATTAAAAAATAATTTTGAACGAAGAGATAAAATGTTCCAATACCTGCGAAAATCATAATCTAATTGTTTGATACTTAGATTTTTATGGTATTAGAAGGCACACATCTGTGAAACAAACAGCAAAAAACGTAAATTAATCGATTTTACTCTTTCTGAAGAATAATATTGCATTTATATAAAATGTTCGAACACAAAATAATGTTGTTTTAATCTATCCTGTCAAAATATAGGCCGCTAGAAACTGCACACTGGATTCTCTAAATTACTAGTATATTGTTTTCACTGATATTTTGATATCTTGTAGCTTGTAGCTCCATATGATACTTTTACAGTTACTCATTCTTGAATTTGTATTAGAAGGATCAAAATAGGTCCTCCATGCTGGCCCACTTACAAAGTTATGTCAATGCAGTTTTCTAACAAATATCAGTTAACAAATACTGTTCAAAAAGTGGCTCTAAGCATGAAAATCATAATGATAAATCTATGCAAACATAATATGCCAAAGACTTGCATATTATACTTTCAATTTTGTATTCTCTACCGTACCTACTATCGAAATCGTCACTTCCTAAAAAAGTAAAGAAAGATACAATGGAACTACATAGATATGAAATGTGCATATAAAATGCTCTCCAACCGCTTTAACGAGGGCTACTGTAATTTTTACGAAGTTGAGGAATATCATAAGCGTTTGAACTATTTGACTTATATTATCCGTGAACTGGTGGTATTTTGAGCGATCAATGGTATGAAATAATAATACAAATAACCATAGGTTTGATACTGTTTTTCTAAAAATGGTGGATGTACAATTACGATTGTAGTTGGTAGCGTTTTAAAAAATGTTGAATGTGCTAGATGTCTCCAAAACGAAGCTACACTTCCTTGACTGTGTGTGTACCTATAAACTGTGTAATTGTATTCCTGTATGTTGACGATACCAATGCATATACGAGGATTGATCTAGAAATAAAGTTCCCAAAGACCTCAAGCCACTCTGGAAGGTGCGATGCGAAAGCCAGCAACAGCGTTGCCAGATTCGTTGCAAGAAACGATCGTATAAGCTAGGTCGACATTATCGTATACAGAATTCATGTTCAGGCAGGAGGGGGGTTTAGAAGTAACAGTACACTTGGAAAATAAACGACAGACTATATAGACAATTGCAATTGAGGGGTCCAAGTCAATTTTTGGGCAAAATGAGTTGGGTTTACATTCTTGCATAGTTTTAAATTTTACATGGACCAGCTCTGTAACATTTGAGTTGTGGAAACGGAAGTGCAAAATTGGTTGCCTATGCTTTTATACTTTGCATAAATTGGTCAAGTCCTGGACTTGACTGGTTTTTGCACAGTGCTGTCAGCCTGAGACGATACAGGTACCCCGAACTCGGACATAGAAGCTTTGAAGCCATAGAAAAGCAAAACAGAAAACACGACAAAATACATTTGACGCAAGAGTACTCAAAGATTATTGAAAATACAAACAAAAACTTAAAAGTCATTTGGTGCAGGATATATTTTTAAATTTCAAGGCCCATTTGCAACAATCCTTCAATAAAGAACAATAAATTTACCATTTCAAAATATCAAGTCATACGCTATTAAAATCTTGATAATGAAATATTATTTAAATGTGGTGACACTACCAGACACTACAAATAAGATGTATAATGAAAGAAGAAAGCTAAAACAAAATTTGATCACTCTGGCTAAAAACTATCAGCCACAATGTGATCAGTGGTTCTATGATGAAATCAGAAAATACCACCAGAGCTTTTCGCCAGATGATAAAGAAACTTCCGGATCAGAATTGTGAAGATGAATAAATGAAAATATTTTAAGTTTGTATCAAAAGTTGAATCAAGCCATGTATTAGTCTATTTCATTCAGCAACTTAACAAAAAAATAACATTTGTGACGTCAAAGCTTGTTTTATCTCAAATGTATCTTTTAAAAATCATGTGACTTGACTGGTTTATGCTTTGGATCCCTCAACTGGAGAGCAAGCAACGCTTGCTCATCAAGCCTCTTGGCGACGGTTGAATTTGATACAGCGTACAGTACTTGAAATTGTCGTACGTCTGGCAACGCTGCGCGCTACTGGTTCCCCACTCTGGATTCCCCCGACCGCGCTTCGCTGCTCAGCAGTCGTCCGGTATGGAGGTTATCATTTTTGATCCGCCAAGCGCGATATTAGTTCAATAACTAACGCTTTCCACGCCAATGGGACTTCATCCGTAGATATCGTTAGATGACAGGTGTATGGCGACAAGTATATGTCCGTCCAACAGTGATGCAAGGAGCTTAGTGCCGATCAGAAGGAAGTCCACGATGAAGAACGAATTGGAAGAATGCCAATCTCAGAGGCGGTTATTGAGATTGTAGAATCGTAAGTTCATACTGAATAATATATTCTTGTTAGAAACTTGTTAGGTATTGCAAGTAATATAATTCACCAGAAATGCTGCGCTATGCAGAGGAATGACCGAGGTACCTTGCACTACCTATCAATATACAGTTTTAAACTGAATTAAGTGAATCATCCTGAAATTCAGGTTGTATTGCTTAAGGGGCAAAAGCCCGAAATAGATGAATTTATTACAAAATGATCTAACGGGAAGTGGAGATCACCGTCCGTGGACTCCCAGAAATCTGACCAACAAGTTCACAGAAGGTGATCGTCTTCCGTTCTTCATCGTTGATTTCCGTCTAAACTCCATATCGGACCGAAGCGACATAGCGAATAGGGATGGGAAAAAATAATAGGTCAATTGAATAAATGATCTTTCTAAATTAATTATCTGGTTTTTACCGATAATTTCATAATGTACCCGGTTATCGGTTAATAAATACAATAACCGGAAAGAAGGTTTTTCTTTTTCTATCTATACAAATCTCAGTAAATATTGGCGTAGTGAATATCACGGCTGTGTTATTTTTGTTGTCCTTGACCTCTTCACCAACGCTCTGCCTTATATGCGCCGTAACCGCTTTGGAACAGTTCTAATGGATGTTCTCTGATCACAAAACGTCTTTTTAAGAGAGGGCTTTTGACAAGACTTGACGTTTGACAGATGTCAACTTCACAGTTCCCGCATTTACATTTATCGTTCAATAACTTGGATAGTCGTAAAAGTCTGTACATAAGTGCCGCTCTCTGCACGCCTAGACCGTGCGCTATGCGCTATCTAGGCACGGTGTAGACATGGCCAATGATACTTTAAATTGTTGATGCACAAAAATAAATGTTATTTATATAAACGGTTAAATTTGCTGCGGTTTACCGGTGACGGTTAAAATTATTGGTTAACACGTTTTTTTATGGATAACCGCCCATCTCTAGTAGCGTAGCGCGTCCGGGGAAATCAAGAGTGCTGAAACAGCCGCGCACCGCGGTGTTGCCGGATTTCATCTCGCACTTTCCAGTGTGGCTGGAACTTCCTGTGAGCCTTCTTTTGGATCAAACTTTGTCTAATAATAAGCATAATTAGATCCATCGACCTTTCGAAGATTTTCATATAAAAGCTTACACATAATACTCCTTAAACTTAGTCCTGCACCCGTCTCAGACGTCAACCGGCCTAGTGTCTCTAGCGTCATCTGGCGTGGTGGCCAGTCTGACTTGAAGGCTCTCTGACTGGACGATCTGCCCGTTGGATTGTTGCTGGGTGTCCGTTGGAACTCCGGACATGTGTGAGTCGCGGTAAGGGGTGGTCAGGATTTTCAAACGCTGCAAAAACATCGCGTTTTAAGCTTTACCTAAATAGTTGATTCTCATGGATTCACTAAATTTTGTAACGAAAATCGATATACGAGGGATGTCTTTTAAGTTTTGCACCTAGAAACACAGTAGGCCGCGCAGATCGAACGTCAGTACTGAATCTTAACCTCACTCTTTAGTGAACTTAAATTCAAAGTTTCACAACAATACGTGCAGTCCTCTCACTATAGTGAATTTTTAAGTATCACCATGTCATTAGAAAAATGGAACTCAACCGAAAACATTTTCGCGCCATAATTTATTACAACTTTCAAAGACAATTATCGCAACAAGAATGCTTTGCTGAGTTACTGTCTGTTTTCGGGAACGAGGCGCCACATCAGTCGACAATTTCCCGTTGGTATGGGGAATTCAAACGTGGACAGGTGTTTGCCAAAAGTCATCATCGAGCTTCGAAAAATCAACCCCTCCACCAAGAAAATGCAAGCTCGCACACAGCCCAAAAAATAAGGCAGTATTTAGCGGAAGAAAACGTGGAATTATTGGACCATCCTCCATATAGTCCCGATCTAAGATCTAATGATTTCTTTACTTTCCCGAAAATTAAAAACAGACTGCGTGGTAAAAGGTTCCAGTCACCAGAAGAAGCAGTTGACGCATTCAAAAATGCCGTTTTGGATCTGCCAGCAAACGAGTGGAATAAGTGCTTCGAAAATTGGTTCGAGCGCATGCAGATGTGTATTAATCTTCGTGGAGAATACTTCGAAAGACAATAAAGTCATTTAAAACTCCTTATTGTGTTGTTTTATTTCCATATATACGTACAAAACTTAAAAGACATCCCTCGTAGTCCTTCCCAGAGACAGGTAATCACAACCACCTAAGAACAGTTTTACAAAGCTTAAAAGTTCGTCGAGGGGTAAACGCTGCAAAACACATCACACTTTAAAGCTTTACACAAAAAAAACAGAATCTAGTAGATTCTCAGGATTCGCTATATTTTGTAATAAAAATTGATATAATCCTTCGTGGAAAGAGGTAATCACAACCACGTGAAAATAGTTCTACAAAGCTTAAAAATTTGTCGAGTGGTGAACGCTGCAAAAAATATCACGTTTTAAAGGTTCACCCAAAAAACCAGAGTCAATTATTCTCGTGGATTCGTTAAATTTTGTAACAAAAATCGATATAATCCTTCCTGGAAAGAGGTAATCACAGCCACCTAAAAATAGTTCTACAAAGCTTAAAAGGTCGTCGAGGGGTAAACGCTGCAAAATACCATCAAGTTTTAAAGGTTTACCCCAAAAAACAGTCAAGCAGATTCTGACGGATTCGTTATATTTTGTAACAAAAATCGATATAATTCTTTCTGGAAAGAGGTACCCACAACCAACTAAAAATAGTTCTACAAAGCTTAAAAGCTAAACGCTGGAAAAAACATCACGTTTTAAAGCTTTGCCCAAAAAAACAGAGTCAAACAGATTCTGACGGATTCGCTATATCTTGTAACAAAAATCGATATAATTCTTCCTGGAAAGAGGTACCCACAACCACTTAAAAATAGTTCTACTAAGCTTAAAAGAGGGGTAAGTTTATTGAAAAATTGTTGTTTATCTCCTGGTTTTATTTGAAATGGTATTTTAAAATAAATTGCATAGGGTCAAGTGGTGCAAAAACGAGACGATTTTTAAATCTTTTAATTTTTTGTCAACAAAAAACCGGTTTGGTTATATTGCCCTGTATATAGAAAGCCATGTAGTATACCTCACGTTAAAAAGTTCATAATATTCATAATGAAGGGCGTTTTTGTTAAAAAAACGTGTCTCGTTTTTAACCACTATTTAGGCTAAAAATGAGACAGTGAGAGATTAAAAACAAGACACTGTATTTTCTGGCCTTTTAGTCATTTTACATCAGTGTGGCAAAATATGAGACCCTGGGTAATAAAAACGAGACACACTGCTAGGGTTTTAAAGCGTTTAGTAAGTCAAATAACATAGGTTTTAAATTGTGACAACGTTCTTAAAGAAAACTCACATAATTAAATACAAAACTATGTTTATTAAACTAAAAAGAAAACAAATCCAAAAACAAGTTAAATAAACCATACCTAATTCAAAAAAGGGGTAACACAAGATTTTCAATAGGATTTTAAGAGCTAAAGTAGAAAACTTATATATATATATACATATATATATATATATATATATAGGTGAAAATTAAAGCTTCCGCCTTTTGTTGGGTACTTCGACAAAATCTAAGCAAAGAGGACTCTTTATACTTTTTTTAATTCTCTCTAGCTTTCAGTGGACTTTGCCATCATCATCAGGAGCTGCAATTACAATGATAGCAGTAGCAACAAAAGTGTAAAATGAATTTAAATTGAATCAACTTACAGTAGTATGTGAGGATGTTGCTAATTGTTGTTTTCGTATAGGATGAGGGAAACGTCCAGTAACATGGTGAGAGCTGGATACATGGTACAATGGTTAAAATTATATAAAATATGACAAGACAAGTTAAAGACAGATTAAAAATTATTTAGAAAACATTAAAGCATTACGTCGTGAAGCCACTTGATGATTGCACAAAATGGTGGTCATGGAATAATGAGTGAGATGAACCTTTGACAGAAGGCCGAAGATTGTCAATGTCTGTGTTGAAAAATGGAACGAATTGTGGGCGTGTGCCAAAACGTTGCCAAATCACTTCAGATGATGTGATTTTCAGAATGTTATGTAAGAAATTGTTGAACCGACCAGAGGCAGTTGAATAAACTATATTTTAATTAATGGGAATTTTAAATTAACAATTTTTAATAAATCGTGAGAAGAGAATTATTAGATTTTGAGTGGAATGAAATTTGTTGGTGGAATCGGCCAAAACACAGATTATATTTATGGTTGTGAAAAGTCGAAATTTGGGGAGATATGTAAGTTCTCTAATTTTTCGCAGTTTAGCAAATATGAGTAAATGACACTCAGTCATTTAATATCTGTCTTTTTGTTGATACAGTTGTTATTCATGAAAATGTGGGACATTTCCAGGAATAAACGTTTGGAAAGGTGTTTTCCTTTATCAAGAACTTTGATACTTGTGTAATTCATAGAATGCCCTGTTGTGTTAACATGAGATGCTAGAGCGCATCTTTCAGGATGAAGCCTAGCATCACTTTTATGTGATGTAATCCTTCCTTTAAGAGATCTGGAGGTCTGACCTATGTATATTTGGTTGCAGTTGTTGCAATTGATGGAGTAGACTGTGTTAGTTAAGCTAAGCAGAGGGACTTTGTCTTTTATTTTTGAAAAAATGCAGTTTATAGTGAGGACGGATCTGCAAGCAATTCGAAAGTTCAAAGGACTGCACAATCTGATCAGCTTAGGGGTCAGTTCCTTGATATAGGGCAGGACAGCAAAACCAGGTCTGGAGTCTGGGTTGGTGCTTGTACTGTTTGGATTGATGCTATTATTGGGAATTACATCAGTTCCGTTATTATTAGGGGTTGTGTGACTATTACCTGCATCACCAGAGTTCGGCAAAATATTGGAAGGTGAACTAAATAAGATCTTGTTAATCAGACACTTCGGATAACCATTATTGATGAACAGCTTTGATCTCCATCTTCAGATGTTTTTGTTTTTTTTGTTTTCTTATGGACATATTGAAACTTTGCGCAATCGAATACAATTTTTTATCCTGCATTTAGTTATGAATATAATACATTTATTTATGTCACGACAAATTCAATTGAGGTAATATTATTCTTGGCACTATTTAAGTGTTCAAAATTCCAGTATAGCGTCCATATGAAAAAACAAAATTGACGATTTAAGTCGAAAAAAGTTGCAATGACAACATGCAACTTATTTCGAAGCCGTATCTCAAATCAAGGCAGGAAATATACGAATGATTTGTTGATATGTTGATAAATCTGGTATACGAAGCAAGTGACTATCTGAGAATTTCAATTCTTAACTATACTATAACTATCTAAAACTGTAATGACTCATCGATGTTCACGTGAACATCACTTAACTACCAGTAGTCGGCTGTTCATAGGCGGGGTATGAATGTTTAACATGGGTGAACTAGATTTGTCACATGCTTAATAAAGAGTGGTTTGAAACATATTGTAAGTCAAAAATTTGGGAATTACCTTTATTCATCGTCGCTTCCACTTACATCTGACAGTAATAAACTGTCGCTATCGCTTTCCTCGTTGAAATTGACTATAACTGGCTCTATGATGGTGTCGATGTGGTGGTCAAGCTGCCACATTTTTGTTTCTTCCTTCACAACATGACGGATAGCATTCTGCCAAGCTTCGGGCGTTACTAGCTGTATGGAAGTCTCAAGTAAAACCTTAACGTCTGGTAATTTGAAGGTTGTGTTATGGCGCGCAATATAACCCTTCACTTGAGCCCAGATGAGCTCTATAGGGTTCAGTTCACAGTGGTAGGGCGGTAACCGCAGCACAGTGTTACCACATTGACGGGCCATCTCATCAGTCACATAACTAATGTTTGCAGGTTTGTGCTGTTTAATTTTTTCATACAATTCCGCTTTCACACATGAATCGTCAAACGGGATTCCTTTTTCGCGCAACCATTGCTGCATGTCACTTTTTCGAGATCCCATAGTCGGTACACGTTCGGCTCGACGACTATGGTAGGAAGCATTATCCATGACGATCACAGAGTTGAGCTCAACTCGCTGAAGCACCCCTTGAAACCAGCTCTCGAAGCAGCTGGCATTCATTTCGTCATGGTAATCACCTCCTTTCTTAGAGACGAAAATCAAGTCACACTCTTCTAAAAAGCCACTATCGCTACCAATATGAGTTACGATCAATCTTTGACCTTTCCCTGACGGTCCACGAAGACCTGTTGACAAACCTTCAATGCTAGCTTGTCGGTTACTCACTACGTTTTTGTCTATCCAGGTTTTTTTAACTGTGTGACCTGCATTTACCCATGTCTCGTCCAAATAATAGATTTTTCTGCTTTGTCGCCTATATTCAATCATTTCGCGTAGGTATTTTCGACGCTTAGCGACTATTTCAGGTCTCTCTATCAATACTGACTTCCGATTACGCGTTTCGTAACGAAAATTAATTTCGTGCAGGGATTTCCTCATTACCTCGACGCTCATTTGGGGTATAATTTCATTTTCCTTGATCGCTGCATGTACAGCCTTGAGGGTTGGTATCTCATTCCTAAAGAAGAATGAATGTACGGTTCGCCTTAACGCCATTTTGCTATCGTCATTCAATTTAACGGCCTTTCGTCCCTTCAAATTAAACTTTTAATCAGTAGTAGCTCCAGTTTTCTTCTTTTCATGCACCACCCTGCGAATGGTCCACTCTGGAACACCTGTCATACTTTCACAACGCGCGAGTGCATCTCCCTGCGACATAGTTCTGTTCAGATAATTGAATACGTTGAGCACGATTTCTTTCGCGTCCCTTTTCAGTGCTTTACGAAGCCGTCTACTTGTTCCCTGGCTTTCAGTACTTCCACTCGTGCCATTTGTACTCTCCATGGTTAAGTATAACCAAAACAGTAACCACAGAAACCACAACAATAACAATCACACAACAATTCTAATAAAAACACACAATATGCGATCGCTCAACGAAACACGTTCCAATGCGTTGCCGACGCCTATGAGTCTGCCGGTCGAGGCGCGTCTTTGATTTCATTGGTTCTACCGGCGGAGAACAATCAGCTATTATTTCCATCTCTGTCTGTGCTGTTGACCACCGCAAAGCCACAGAAACGACATATGTCGTACGCTATACGGCTGTACTGGAAGGAAGCCGGGATCGAGCTCTGATCACGTGTTGATCACGCGTATGAGTCATTACCGTTTTAAATAGTTGTAGTATAGGAAATTCTGCTTTTATAAACAACTAAGGTTTGGCAATGTCTATGTATGACACGTTTTCCATTTTTTGAATCAGAATTAAAAACTCTATTCATCTGCAAAATTCCGCAAGAAAAAATGAAGTTGATGTTGGCGGACAATAGACAAAACATCATAATGAAATTCTGATTACGCTGTGAATGTTTATTTGCAATTTATTTTAATATGTCATTACAAAGTCAGGAAAACCTTAACACGATTTCGGAAAAATTCTTTTTTTCTGTCTCTCTTCGGAGGTACTTAGAATTTCGTTGCTTTCCAAGCGGCGTTTTGTCAGTTACCTAAATACGCAGCTTACCTTCCAATGGTGAGGATCAAATCTGAATTAGCCGGGATATATAAAAAAACATCTTCGCTTGCTAACTTCGAATCATACCGCTAAATCCATGAAACATTAAATTCATTTGAATTGTAAAAAAGGACTTACCTTCAAGCATGACCCCCTGGTAGTAAGAAACATATACAAGGCAACCCCCGGTATCATTATGACGGATGACCCAGTGATGGCCCATCCTAGCGCGTTGGCCCAACTGGGATACACGTACTTCTCGTAGGTAAGAGGCTCATAGCCCAAAAGGCCATATACGATGATGAAGAGAAGGAAAGCGGGGGCCGCGAACTTCCAACAGAAACGCCAGTAGTACCCCGGAGCAAAGCCGATCATGTCACGGATGTCGTCGCAGAACCGTTGGGTACCTGGAATCATAAGTAATTTGCCAGTCTTGTGAATCCAAATTAGGCTTCATCTTGTGTAACAAGAATGTGAGTTACACTAAGCTGACAAGAAGCGTAAATAGTGTAATACGTATTGCATTTTATAATAATAATAATCAGCCCGCTAAAGTTATACAGGGTTTGTCCGGAAAATAATAGGACTGAGTCATTTAAAAAAAATTTATTGAGCCAATCGTTACAATTCTTTAAAAACTTTCAAAATAGGCTCCTTCTGCGTCGATGCAGCGCTGCCAGCGCGATTTCTCGCACTTTTCTGCATAAAAAAGCTATCCTATGAGTTTTCGTTATAGTTAGCCGTTTTTGAGATATTTCTATTTTTAAGGTTCGATGCATTTTTAATTATTTATGGGAAAATAATAATTTTTTTACATTTTCGATTTGGGCATTACAAGTAATTAAGATGATCGTTTAGATTGTGTTTTTGAACACAGCAATAATTCCTAACTCCAAATAAACACAAAAAAAGGATATTAATTTGTTTAATTTTCCAATATTATTTTTAACAAATTAAATTAATTATTTACAACTAAAATGCTATTAGGACAAACATACAAAATCTAAAGTAGTTGCTCGAAATGTAAACCCAATTGTTCAATACACAATTCACATCTACGAATGATCGAACGTGGTATAGCATTATTCAAATAAGGCCTTATTTCATCACATGCATTCCTGATTCTGTCTATTAGCATATCTCTTGTGGTTACGGGAGTCTGGTATACTTTTTCTTTTAGAAATCCCCACACAAAGAAATCTAATGGATTTAGGTCAGGGGATCGTGGAGGCCAGGCGACTGGTCCTCCACGGCCGATCCATCTTTCTGGATAATTTTCGTCCAGCCAGTTTCTAACTATTCTCGAATAATGAGCTGGACAACCATCAAGCTGGAACCAGGCCAATCTTCTTAAATCTAACATAACATCATCCCACATATTTGCATGTTCAGCCTTTAAAAATTCCAAGAAGGTCGCAGCATTTAACCTTGCAGGCAAAGGTAGGGTCCAAATAGTCGATTACGGTAGATACCAATCCACACGTTCACACTAAATTCGTGCTGAAAATTTCTTTCCCGAACTGCACGCGGATTTTCATGCGACCAAATATGTTGATTATGAAAATTTAACACTCCACGTCTAGTGAAGCATGACTCATCGGTCCATAAAACGTTACTTAAAAACTCCCTATTATTATCAGTTCTATCAAGAATCCACTGACAAAATGTGATTCTTCGTTCTCCATCCCCTGGCTGTAGTCCTTGCACAGGTTGCAACTGGTAAGGACGTCTATGGTCGTTTCTAAGAACACGGTGAACATGGCTTGCTGAAATTCCCAAGGCACCAGAAACTCTCCTAACACTTGTGGTCGGATCTCTATCAAACTCACGCAGAATTATACGGGCAAAACTGCGCTGACGAACATTTATGTTTTGATCCCTTTGCAGATTTCCAAAACCATTTTCAATTATTTGGCGATGCACTCTTGCAAATACTGAGCGAGTTGGATGTCGTCTGTTTGGAAATCTTCGTGCGTATTCTCTGGCTGCTTCTGCTGCGTTTCCATTTACAAAGCCATACACAAAATGAATATCCGCTAACTCCTGATTGGAGAATAAAAATGGCATTCTTATAAAACTTACAAAAAAAAACAGGTAAAAGAAACTAAATTTCGTGCATTCACAATTGCAAAAAAACGTTTCAGGTTTCAACAGACAACAAAACTAACTGTCAACTAATTGACGTTTAACCTTATTCTGCTTTCAATTTCAAAAACATTTGCAAGCACAGCCTACTTCTAAAAATTATCGAGATACTGACTTTTTAACGTTATTTTATCATAAATAATTGAAAATGCATCGAACCTTAGAAATCGAAATATCTCAAAAACGGCTGACTATAACGAAAATTCACAAGAGAGCTGTTTTATGTTGAAAAGTGCGAAGAATCAGTTTTCTATTCAAAAAGCAAAAAATTGCACTAAGAAAAAATTGTCGGTCATTTTAATACACTACAGGTACAGTAGAGAGCGCCCTCTAGCGGCTACAGTAAAACTATGTCCATGGTTCGTTTTGTAGTACCAAAAAACCCTTGTATACCGATTTTCACTGTTATACATCAAATATTGTTCGAAATATTTAAAAAAAACTATTTTAGAAAGTAAATTTAAACACCCTGTATTTCGGAAGCCACGCATTTTTCGACCCATGTTTATATAGACTTTATGCATTAATTTTAAAAGTTCTATCGAATCTTAAAGTTATGCAACAATAAACTGAAACGCCCTGTATATGAAAGATGTCAAAAAAGATTCAATTGCACTGAAAAAGGTTACCGTTGGCTCTTCGGACGATTTATATAGATACTCGTACAAGCAGCCTATAAACAAGTCAATGATGATCATTAGATAGATTTCACCCTGATAAAGAGTTCGTTTGGTTAAAGCCATTTGTACCCCAACTCCTGCCGTGCTCCGAAGTTTCCTTATCTTTATTTGATGACAAGTCGTAAAAAAAGCCCCCTGTAGTGTGGATTAATTTGGTGTGAGAAACACCCCATTTTTCCATTTTACATAACTGAATCAGCAAAGTCCACGTAAATGGGAGTTACAGATATTTTTATCGTTGATTCCAGTTTTCCATGTTTTGGCAGATTACTTGTTCGTGAAATGGAGTGAAGACGATAAGAAATAGTATATTATATACCTAGTTTCAAAATCGAGCTATCATTGAAGACGTGTTTTACTTCCCACGGTTACTGACGAGAAAGTATTGTAATCGCGAGTTTTATTTTGAAAATGAGATATAATAATATAATAATAATAAAAGTCTTTTATTATAGTAAAATAACAAATGTATAGAAAATATCAAGTAGACTGGTGGCGAAGTCTAGCCGGAGGCTATTCTACTTAACCACCAGCGAGTTCACACTCGAAAGACTAAAAAAAGAATTTAATAATATTTTTCTCTGGGAGCTGGTACATACGTACATATATGAGAAACGATTAGTGAGCTGAATTGATACAGTAGATAAATATTACAAAAAAGTGAGCAAGCAAGCATAAATATACTAAGTGACATATAAATCCGAACACCCAGTTTAAATGGTTTTATTTCAATAAAATTTTGTATAAGTACTTAATGAAGCATAATAAGTAAATGATAAAAATTTCAAAATGATTGCACTGCTTTAAAGCCCTTTGACCTTTAATAATGTGTGTATGCACCCTGATGTGCTACGCATTCTCCAGCGCGCCTAGGCATGCTTTTGATCAGGTGGTCAATGTCCTCCTGTGGTATCTCATTCCAGGCAACCACCAACTCCTCTCGAAGTGCTTCTAGAGTCTGAGGAGGACGTTGCAAATTGAGCAATCTCCTACCCATCATATCCCACACGTGCTCAATTGGGGATAAGTCGGGAGTTCTTGGTGGCCATGGTAACAATGTGACATCATTATGTTGAAAAAAGTCTATTGTGACTCTTGCAACATATGGTCGGGCATTATCTTGTTGGAAAGTTGGATCTGCCAGGGTGTCAAGATAGGGTAAAAGATGGGGTTCTAGAACTTCGTGGATATAACGCTGCGCGTTCATGTTACCTCTGATGAAGATTAATAAGCTATAGCACCCCAAACCATAACTCCAACAGTGTGATGAACATGTCTTTCAACAAAAAACTGTGGATTCCTCCTTTCACCACGTCGCCTTCTAACCCTGGCACGACCATCGTGCATGCCTAAACAAAATCGAGACTCGTCACTAAAGACAATACTGTTCCATTCCTGATCCCAGAGTGACCGTTGTCTGCACCACTCAAGGCGATTACGTCGGTGTTCTCGAGTTAAAGGGAGGACCCAGTGTGGCCGGTATGAAAACAAGCCAAAACTTCTCATTCGTCGGTAAACACTTCGCATGCCAATAGGTCTTCCGTGTTCTGCAAACCATTCATTTGTAATGGACCTGGTAGTGGAGAAACGGTCCCTTAAGGCCAATAATCTTAGGCGGCGATCTTCACGGTCTGTTGTTCTACGGCGGCGTCCAGTGCCCCTTGCTCTTTGCGTACGGCCTTCTCGAAGCCATGCCTGACAACACCTAACCACAGTTCTACACTTCTTTGCACTCTAACTGCAATTGCCCGAAAAGAAAGTCCAGCTTCCCGAAGTCCCACTATACGGCCCCTATGAAACTCACTAAGTTGACGAAATCGTACAGGTCTCCGTACTCTAGGCATCGTAACCGATCGTAAAGGATGTCAAGAACCAAAATCCGCCAACGTTGATTCTTTACTGCGGCTGAAATATTCATTTTTAGAGCGTTAGTGTTTTAAAAAAAGCAGTATAAAAACCGGAATGTCCAACTGATAAGGCTGAAAATTTTGTCACTTGTTATTTACAGTAAGATAAATACATTCACCAACTTTTATTAAAATAAAACCATTTAAACTGGGTGTTCGGATTTATATGTCACTTAGTATATGTAAATAGTCTGGTTGAAGAAGTAAATTTCAAATATAACTGAAAAAAAAAATAGAATATAAGAAGGAGTGGAAAATGAATGGTTTAAGCCATGTCATAAATTTCACTGTCCATCAAAAGTATGGATGTTATATGACATGTGGATCACGAAAAACTATATCACTCATGTTCGTCGGACCTTCTGTCTCTCTGTCCACAAATCTTTGCACCGTCTATAATATGTCTTATTTTAACAGGTAACCTTCGTAAAACACTACCCTCCTTAGAGTGCCAAATATAAAAAGTAGTACTCCTCGAAGCAGAATACTTAAAAATTACCTGAAACAACAACAAAATTGGATTTGGAAAACACCTCTTTTTCTGTACGACACCTCACAAACCTAAAAAGATGCAGATGAAACCTATATGCCCCTAATCTAGACATTCTCTACTTTAAGATAACATTTATCACAGCTTAGTTATAAGTTTATAACTCGACATGAATTAATTTTGTA